AAAACTTCGGGTAAATAAAAGCTTGTCATCAACCTCGGTTACAAATTAATTACCATTGAAATCAAGGGAATAATGATGGGTCAAATTTGTAAAAAAAAAACACCACCGACCTCAACTCCGCAAGCATATCCAGGTATCGGTCTTCTTCACTCTCGAATCGAACGTAAAATTCGTCCAAGGCGACAAAGTGCGTGAGTTTCACCTGGAACTCGATATTCCTCCAGCGTACTCGATTGTGCTGAATTACCTGATCTGTTACATGAAACCACTTCCGTTATGTTTGAGATCTACGAACCATTATGAATATTCTAGGCAAACTTTACCCTTCGCTCGATTTCGCATACAAGTTTCCCACTTGGTTTGCCAACATTTTTGAAAGCTCTCAAGATTTCGCGAGAATTTTTTTGGGAGTAGGACAACTTTCAACGAATTCTAGACAGAAAAATAATCCTATTCCAGAAATACAACCCCCAAAGCCACAAAATATGAATCCTTCAAACTACCTCGACCAGATGGGCCTTTGGCCCTGATTTTGGTTCTTCATTGCTTGATCACTACGGATTATTTGCGGCACCATGTTCACGCCTTCCCAGAGGAACTACATGGAGCATTTTTATGATTCATATGGCATATTTCGATGCCCCGAAAGTTAACAGTGAATATTTCCGAACACAAAAACTAGCACAGCTGGACAATCTTATCATGGATGACTGACTCCGGAATGACCCGAAAAAAAAGATAAAAAGAAATGAAGATGAACACAGTACTGTAACCAGCACTGATAAGATTTTGCCGAGAATCGGTAACTTTCACAATTTCAGCGTAACTTTGATAACTTCGTTGTAACTGTTGCGTCTGCAAGTTTTTCGGAGTATAAAAAGTACGGTCAGTAAGGAAGCGGGCGACTTTCCAAGGTTTCAAATCAAAACCATCTGCACCCGACAGGTGAAAAATGTGATCCAGCTGCGTCAATCAAGAACAAAGACAATCGTATTGTAAAGTTGCGAAGTGACCGATTTGAGGGACTTTGGGACTCACAAGGCTTTGCAGTGGCCTTTAGTGAGAAAGAACTCACAAGAGTCTGCCTGCAAAAGGTTGCTTTAGACATTTGTGCTATATTTAAAACTTTGAAATTCGTCAATTGTTAAAGAGCTATCAGAATTCTATTTCACTGACGCTGATTCTATTAAAGAGGGTGCGTGTCAACAGAATCGTCCGAAGAACCACGACCTCGCGATGGTGGTGGACGAGTTTCTGTAAGCGTCATTCGATTGTGAATGCGCCGAATGAAATGCTCAACCGACTCCTCCCTTTGACATTTCAATCAATGCATGGGTGATTTCGGTTCCAGTAGACCTTTTCCTTTTCCCGTTCCCATATAATGCGGAAATGAAATTGTTCTGTTCCAGTTTTCTGTTTATTCTGATTTTCTGGTCTGAATTCAGACTTTGCTGAGGTTTTTACTGCCTAGAAAAACCTCAGTAAAGTCAGAATTCAGACCAGAAAATCCCTTTCCCAGGTAGACAAAAGTTTTTTCCCAGGAAATTTCTCGAATCTCTTCCATCGTGAAACGTGGTAGAATGCGCTGATGGAGAGAGAGACGAGTTCCGGACATAATGAGAACTGCTTACGCACTTCGGAAGCCCTCTTCTCCTCCACGACTTAATCCTGAAACTGAGCTTTCCCACGAATCTGATGCAGTGTTCATGGAAGAAAAAGGTATCTCACCAAGCAAAATGGACTTCGATGTCTGCTTGATTGAATGTGGACTGCAGCTAATTCATCGCTCCAATCGACAAAGTCAATTATTGCCGCGCCCATCGAAAAACTGCCGCGTTACGACGCCGCGCAAGTAACCGCGCGCGACGGCGCCACTCCCGGACGATTCTGTTGACCGCTCCCCGTTGAAGAAAGTACCACTAGTAATTCAGCTTAAAATAGTCAGAAGTGACCATGCAGTTGAATCGCTGCCTTGTCACACATTTATTACAATACATTCATAAGTTGCGCACACTTTCGACTTCAGGCACCTTGCATAGAGCCATTCCTAACTCGACAAGCCGCTTTGGGCGCTGTTTACGTTTAGGCACCTCGCAGTTGCTGACAGTCTGGGATCCGCACTGCCCAAATTCACGCTCTCAGCGCCTGTAGAGCAATGCCGAAGGGTCAACATGGTCGAGTCAAAGTGTAATATTATTACCAAGATTCCTGGATCTGCTGTCAGTGTAACACAAATAGCTTAACCTTAAAACCTACTATAGCAATTTGCTAACAACAAAGTAAGCCACATCAAAACAGGCACCACCGTAGCATAGACTCACGTAACGGTGCGTTATGAACTTTCCGATAATTACATTTCAAAACCGATCCCCTTTTTCCGATGTTAGACTCAGTCTGGCTACTTTAGGCCGATGTTCATGGCTGATGGCTGATCGCTAGTAGCGAATCGCGCGATTCGCAAAGTCTGACATCGGCCTTACTTGTTAGTGAACCTTCGTTCTTCAAATGCATGCCAGTTGATTGGGAATCGTCAAAAAAGAAAAATGGGAAAAGAATCGAAATTAACACGTTGACGACATCGCGCGTTTTGTGCTTTTGCACCGCGTGGGACAAGAGCGATTTTGCGAGCGCAGCCGCCGCACACCAAATCCATGGATTTTGAGCTGTAAATACGCAATACTTAGATGCGATGAAATGTTTTCAATGATGTTCGATCTGTCTAGCTTATCGGGAGTTACAGTAATGGAAGTTTGACCGAAATGACGTGTTAAGGCCATGAAAAGGGAAATTTTACTTAATTTCCCTTTAGTGGTTCCAAAATTAATTTGGACGTGGTTGTTTCAGTAAAACACATATCTTCCCATACGAATAGGTTTGTATTCACTTCTGTTATTCCTTTTTATCAACATGTTACGTTATTGAAAAGAAAACGAGGAATGAACTGAACAGACATATCCGTAAGGTCTGGAAAACCTCTGCCAAACTAAAGAATATTTGGCCTTTCTGTGAGCCATGTGGTTTTTAAGTATGCTAATGTATGACCTATAGAATGAGTACAAAGACCTTAGGAATAAGTCGCACAAGCGCAAGAAAAAGGGATGACTTGGGTGGGACGCGTTACCGCGTCACAATGTCCCACGAGGTGCGCAAAGTGGGACGCGTTACCGCGTCACGCTGTCGTCAACGTGTTAAGTAAAAATAGAAACAAAAACAAATATATGGGAGCTTCTAAACGTACTAAATCCTCATACGGCACTTCATTTGAATCCATCAAATACACGTGCTTCCGCTCGTATTTCTTCGGCTCTTGTGGAACACGTCGCCGTTGGTAACCATTCCTGGCCGACTCGCTATCGTACTGTGAAAATCGCTCTGAATCAAAATGCTTTTCGAGTTTGTCGAAGGGATGAGAGATTTCAACGCACCCGACTCCCTCGGCCATCCTCTGCGTTCATAGGACCGATCGGGTGACGATTCACGTCCCCATGGACGCTGGCATCGCTCTCCGCCCCACCCTTGTCTGTATCGTTCTTCTTCGCCAAATGACATGCCTTGAGGACGTGACCTATTCGGCGGGGTAGGCGAGCGACGATGTGGTTCAGGATCGTAGACAGGAGCGCTGAAGCGGTTGTTCCTACTTTCTGCTTCCGTACCGTAACTTCCTCTCGTGTAACGCTGATCATCTGAAGTACAACAAGTCAGGCAACGTCAAGCAATAGCGCGCGTGAAACTAGGGACTATACCATTTTCACGAGGTGTCTGCGAATCATTTCCCCTATAGCGATCATCGTCAGCAGGCTGTAACAAGATCTTTTTAATAGCAAAAACATGAATTAAATCAAAAAGGCCTTTCACAATATCATACCGTCCAAACGTTTTCCCTTCTATCATTACCACGATCGGAGTCATTGCGATGATATACATAGGAAGAGCTAGTTGAGTAATTTCTGTCCACTTCGGCTCGTAGTTTCGCCTGGAACTACTGACAGGTTGGAGCGAAGTAAAGGATAAATAAAAGGATAAAGCATTTGCCGTTGATCAATCCCTTTTTGGGATGCGGCACGCATTCTACTTCCATTTGTACATTCGTAGTGGCGTTTGAATGCGATGTGGCCTATACAATGACTTGCGGGGCCAGCCGATGTACAAGTCAG